ATTGACCTCATGTTTATATAAATCTTATTTCTACATGATTTGTGTGGTTTAATGCTTCCAATTAATCTTTCCAATTCTATTCATATGTCTTTGTGTGATGGAATGGATGATTATGTGCTTACACTTGATTCTTTATATTTAATGCATGTTTATGTGTATTAAAATTATGGAACTAGTGTTAATCAATGCGTGGTGCTTAATTGGCTACTCTTGTGGTTTATTTGATGGATTATGCTTATTTCTTGATGGATTGTGCTACCTCCTTAGTTTAATTAGTTTAATTTCCTTGTCATTAATATAATTGTAAGATAGTTGCTTTAAATTCCTAGATAGGTAGACAATCCATTTTTGTTATTTGATGATCCATGCTTATGAGTGCAAGTAGTACATTTCTCTAGATTTTTGTGTGTACATCAATTATGGGTTTAATGAATTGTTAATGGCTCAATTTGATAGGTTGTGCTACTCACTAGCTTGATTAGACAATGTATGCTTATTTTGTCATCTGTGCTTAGTATTTCAATTGATGGCATATGCACTTGTTTTGCAACATTTAATCCCCCTAAATTGACAAATATTAGATGTTTAGTGAGGTAAAGCTTAGTGGTGAACTCTATGTCACAAGACCCCTCTCTCATTCTCTACACCTCATTTACCTTAGTTTGTTTTACATTGCATTGTTTTTAAATTAAATTGTAGTATAATTCAACCAACAAACCACTCTTTTTGATCATTTGACCTACTAACCTGAATTCGATTCTGTAGTACCTTGCAAATCCCTTAGGATGATCCTTTTTCACTCATACTATATAGTATAGTGTTAAGTGGTTTTTATAAATTTTAAATGTGGTGGCCACTTCATACACTCACACTTCTTACATCATTTTGAGCACTCGGTTGGGTCCCACACCAATTTTGAGTTTGGGTTTGGATTTGGGTGTTGCCGCAAGAGGGCTTTGTGTTCTCCTCATTGTCCCCGTCGTGATCTTCGGAGTTTCATCGCATTCAAAAAGGTTCCATTTTGGTGTCATTTGAGATTTCATCTCAAATTGAGGTAGGGGATGTCCTATGTTTATACCCTTATTATTTTAAGGTTTAATTTGAGGTTTAATATATGTTGTATGCATGCTTACACTTCTAGAATTGCATATAGGTTGCTTAGTATATGATGAACTTAGGGTTTCATGTTGATTTTATCCCCTTTAAAGTAATATAGAATCTAGAGACTTTCATGTATTGTAGTTACATGAATTTAGATATTTCCTATGTGTATAGATTACTTGATTTATGTATAAAGCATGCCTATAAATTATTATATATTCAATGCTTAATTTATGTGGTAATAAGGACTTGAAACTTGCCTTATAAATAGATTAGTGTATTTTATAAGCTGACTTGTTATTGTAACTTAGAGATTTACATTATGACTTGTAGATATGTAGTGTTTATGTGTAAATCATGGTATATGTGCCACTTGGGCTTTAGGAGCATTGTGGTCACCATTTAGTTCATATACATTAATTTGATTTTAGGTTGTGTATGCACGACATACATAACAAGTTTGAAGGATGGACACCATCCGAATATTGAAAAAGTGGACATCGCGTCCGGCGGGTTGAAAGTCCTGCAAACACATTAGCCAGTGGGGTATGGAAGTGCACCAATCTCGTTTTCGTGTCCGGGATTTGATTACGGCACCATTTTTCGTTACTTTATGCCATAGAGTTGCATGTGTGAGTTGTATTATAGTGGAGTTTATACATAATCTATTTGGTAACTCTTGGTGTGTTGCATACTTTGTTTTCCTACTAGCCTTGTGGTAGATTTAATCGTAAGTATATGCCTTATGTTTGATTTTGTTTCATTTTCAAGCTAACATTGCCTTTTTAAGTTGTAACTTGTTGTATTCAATTATGGTGAATGGTTTATAACATGTTTCAATTATATCTTTAAGGTATCCTTTAGCTTCCCCTTTGAACATAGATGTTAGGTAGCATGTCCCGTGTGGATTCGGTCTATATTAAACTTACAAATTTGTTAAAACTTTAGGTTAGACACATATGCTTTTCCTACGAGTAATACAAGTTACTCAACCCCGCTGATTGTAATTTTTTAGGCAAGAAGACGTTGTTTCGGGATGTATAACATCCCTAAGTTAGCTTAGTTACTTTGGGTAACCTTTGTGTAATTTCACATGCATGCATGTGTTAGCATGTTATACTTTTCTTTAAAATTGTAATATATAGCATGGTCTAGTATGTCGTTTTTACCTTATATTATGTAAAGTGTACTTAGGTACACTCTTTGAGACTTATTTAATATGTATAATGTGTGGCCAAGGCCAAACACAATTTTGTTTATGTCTATGTACTTTGGTATTGTAAATTACTTTTAAAGGGAATATTATGAAATTAGAGGTTTTAACATATTTTTTTCAATTCGGAATATGTGAAGTGTGCCTAAGTACACTCTTTAGGACTCTTTTTATATGTATGAGGTGTGGCCAAGGGCCAAACACCTTTTCGCTTTCATCTATGTACTTCGATTCCATGTTTTACTCTTAAAAGCATTTTTTTGGATATTATAGGTTTGACACGTCGTATTTTGCATTGGGCATGTATTGGGGCCGTAGGCCATTGTAACATGTCTAAAATATACATTTTACGTTTGTGTGTATGTTCACCTTGCACACAATGTCACATTTGGATGAAATGGACACTTTTTGTTTCAAGCATTTTTACACATTTTGCATTTTTCAGAAAATAATTTGATCTAAGGGACATTTTGGGTATTTCACTTGAAAAATAAGAACTTCTCTTGACATGATCACTTAGAAAATTTCTTTTTTTTGGGGGGGGGGGGGGGGGGGGGGGGGCTGGCTGCGTGCACAGCGCGCGCGCCCGCGGGCGTCATGGTGTCCCTCTTGACAACCTTGACGCCTTGTTTTCATTTGACCATAACTCTTTCGTCCGGACTCCGAATCAAGTGATCCTTAAGTCTAACTTCGTTAACTTTTCATCGTCTATCCAATGGTGTGCCCCATAGCACCGAATTTTGTTTTTAAATGATCATTTTATCCCTAAGGTTGCAATTGCCAGTTTTTAAAACGTCGCTTTCGCATTTTGTTATCTTTTGAGTTCGTTAGCTTTGTGGGAAGTTACATTGGCATCTTAGGGATGACGTGCATCCCTAGAGACTTCATTTCTAGGTGAAAAGACCATTTTGCCCTTGGGGTAATACTTGTCTATTTTCAACCCTAGCTTTTATTTTTGTTCTCGTTGAGTTCTTTGACTTCATGGAAAGTCATTTTGTCATTTTAGGGATGATGTATATCCCTAGAGGCCTTGTTTATGTTTTTGCTTCCGTATTCAGGATTCGTTAACGGATACCTTCGGGGCATCACAAGATGCTGGCTTGTAAAACCAGGGCCGTCACAATATGTACCCCACAAATGAATATTAGTGTGCGCCTGTGCAAGTGTAGAACTCTAGAGTCGAATTTCAAAGCAATCTCATAAATAAGATGACGTGGACTATAAAAGCAAGCATGATATCAATCTTTTGAAAAATTTGTTCCTAAATGACATCCAAAGGCATACAAGGAGTATTGAACTCTCAAGTCAAGAAAATTTTAAATTCAATGGAACATAAGAGTCAAAAAGATAAAAAATCATCACTGAAATAGATCTCAAATCTCAATCATGTAATTAAAGCTTAAACCTAAGTAGAATGCAACAAAGCCATCTTACCCCCAAACTAAAGCCGTACATTATCCTCAATGTGCAATGAGAACAATGGAAAAAATGAAATGAGTATACCGTGGTGGCATAACCTATGAAGCCTGGCAATGATCCAATTTGAAAGATATCTCCCCCAAACTTAGAATCAACAACCTATTTGAATAACCACACTAGCAAACTCATATCAAATATCAAATGGGATAGGGATAAACAAATGAAGCATTCTAAGGCAATATAGCACAAATGAAAGAGAGATATGAGATCAAGCCCTAAAGAAAACATTAAAGTATGCATGACTACACATAAGGGCACAATGATGAAACTCTTACATTTTTTTTTTTTTTTTTTGAAAGCATACAAATAAACAAAATGCAAGAAAAATAAAGAAAATGGAAAAGATAAAGGACACAATGTATCGTGGGTGCTAAGTTTAACATCTCTAGCAAGACGGAATGCTACTTTGAACATACACACACACACACACACTCATTTTTTTTTTTGAAATAGGAGGGCTGCGATCGATTGCAAATATGGCGATCGATTGCCAAATGCGATGAATAATACCTTGGAAGGTTGATTTTTCCGACACACAAGACGATCGATCACAAGATTCAGCGATCAATCATAGGAATTAATGAATGATTCTCTAGGAAATGGAATTTTCGACGCACAGTGGCGATTGATTGCAAAAGTTAGTGATCGATTGTGGAATTCCATGAAGGATGGATACCGAGAGGTGTTTTGAGGGCAAAATGGAGCTCTGCAGATAGCGATCAATCGCCAAGCTCTGTAATTTACCGCCAAGCTCTGCGATCGATCGCACTAGAGCTGCCTGGGCACAAAATGCTGAAATTTTTGGAGTCATCTTAAAGGCAGAAATTTTCAAAGGCACAAAATGCCTAGAATTTGTCAATGGTGCACAATGGAACTTATCTAGGCGACGCAATAAGGTAAATAAAAGAAGAAATAAGGAGGAAAAAGAGTTTGGAAACTCTATGAAACTAGGTTTAACGTCTCTAGTCGACATTGAAATGATCTTAATCATCCAAATAGATGGGATCCACCAAGAAGGTGGCTTCCACATCTCTTTGAATAGCTTGCCCCTCAATGTAGGGCTTCAATCTTTGACCATTCACCTTTTCTCATCTTTCAAGCACTTGATTTCAACCGCCCTATAAGGAGAAATGGAGATAATCCCATAAGGGCCTTCCCATTTAGTGCGTAGCTTCTCGGGAAAGAATTTGAGCCTAGAGTTGAAAAGCTATGCCTTTTTTCCTGGCTCAAAGGACTTCTTTATAATGCGCTTATCATGAAAAGCTTTAGTCATTGCCTTATAGATTTTTGCATTATCAAAGGCATCATTTCTCAATTCCTCTAACTCATTTAATTGAAGCAAGCGGTTTTTACCAGCCTTATCAAGGTCAAGGTTAAGCTTCTTGATTGCCCACAGAGCCTTATGTTCTAGCTCAACCGAAAGATGGCAAAGCTTCCTATAAATAAGTTTATAAGGAGGTATGCCTATTGGAGTCTTATAAGCCATGCGGTAAGCCCACAAAGCATCATTCAATTTCCTTGACCAATCCTTTCGGGTCGGGTTCACCATTTTTTCAAGAATTTGCTTAATTTCCCGATTTAAAACCTCAACTTGTCCACTTGTTTGAGGATGGTAGGGAGTGGCAACCTTGTGAGTGACATAGTACTTCAAGAAGAGTTGTTTTAAGAATTGATTACAAAAATGTTTGCCTCCATCACTAATGATCGCCCTTGGCATACCAAAACGAGTAAAGATGTTTGATTTGACAAGTTGAATCACCACGGAATGGTCATTCGTTTTGATAGCACATGGCTCAACCTACTTTGAAACATAATCGACGGCAAGGAGGATATATTGGAAGCCATAAGACATTAGGAATGGTCCCATGAAATCAATGCCCCAAACATCAATATTTTCCATAACAAGGACTAGATTTAAGGGCATCATGTCTCTCTTTGACATTGATCCCATTTTTTGGCACTAGACACACACCTTGCAAAAGTTATAGGCATCCCGATGGATAGTTGGCTAAAAAAGGCCATTTTGAAACACCTTCAAGACGGTCTTCTTTGCATTAAAATGCCCACCACATGCAAGTGTATGACAAAACACAAGAATGCTCAAAACTTTGCTTTCTAACACACATCTTCTTATGATTTGATCCGGGTAATAATGAAACAAAATTGGATCTTCCCAATAGTACTTTCGGATATTAGCAAAGAATCAGTCATTTTCTTATTTTGACCAATCAACGGGAAGTTTGCTAATTACAGGATAATTTACAATGTCGACAAACCAAGGCAACTCCCCATTAGAAATGTGAAAGAGTTGCTCATCTGGGAAAGAATAATGGATTGGAATATTTGGGGATTATTCAACTATCAACCTTGAGAGGTGGTCGGTAACGACATTGTCGGAGCCTTTCTTGTCCTTGATTTCAAAGTCAAATTCTTGGAGGAGTAAAATCCATCTTATTAAGTGCACTTTGGTTTCCTTTTTCAACAAGAGATGCCTTAGAGTAGCATGATCGGAAAACACAATCACTTTTGATCCCAAGAGATATGACCGAAATTTATCAAGGGCATACACTATGACAAGTAACTCCTTCTCAGTAGTAGAGTAATTTAATTGAGCTCCTGAGAAAGTTTTACTTGCATAGTATATGGCACATGGAAGCTTACCCACCCTTTGCCCTAAGATGGCATCCATTGCGAAGTCGAAAGCATCACACATAATCTCAAATGGTAATGACCAATTTGGAGGCTGCATGATGGGGGTGGATGATGGAAGAGTACGAAGTTAATGAATAGCATCTAGGCATACTTGATCAAAGACAAACGGTGTCTCCTTAATGAGAAGATTGCACAACGGTCTAGCAATTTTCCAAAATCTTTGATGAAATGGCAATAGAAGCCCGGCATGACCAAGAAAGAAGCGGACCTCTCTCACCATAGAAGGTGGAGGTAATTCAGAAATGAGCTATACTTTCAGTTTATCAACTTCGATTCCCCTTTGAGATATGATATGACCTAACACTATCCCCTATTAAACCATGAAATGGCTCTTTTCCTAACTTAGAACAAGATTTGTCTCGCGACATCTTTTAAGCACAAGTGAGAGATTTTGTAGGCAAGAATCGAATAATAACCCAAAGACCGAGAAGTCATCCATGAAGACTTCTAAATATTTCTCCACCATGCCCGAGAACATCGACATCATACACATTTGGAATGTGGCGGGGGCATTGCACAAACCAAATGGCATCCGTTGATAAGCGAACGTGCCAAAGGGACAAGTAAATGTAGTTTTCTCTTGGTCAAGTAGGTCTAAGGCCACTTAATTGTACCCCGAGTAGCCATCTAGGAAGCAATAATACTTTTGCCTGGCTAATCTTTTCAAGATTTGATTGATAAAGGGCAAAGGAAAGTGATCCTTCCTAGTGGCTGATCGGTTGTCAATTATACATCAACCTTTGCAATAGCACAAATCATTGTAAAATAGGGCTATTGGTCGGGTAAATCAAACCACTAGGACTGCTGGTGTGTGGTAACCAAGGTGTCTAAAATCATGTTTAGAATGATAAAAGGGGGGTTGTAGAGTTTTGTTGGTTTGTCACTAAAATTAAGGGTTTAATTTGCATAAAACAATAACTTGCTAGGAATTAAAGAGATAGAAAAATAAATAGAGAGGACTAGGGAGATGAATCCACTTCCAACCCTATTCACATGCTGGATTAAAACTAATTTGGGGAAAAACAACATATGTGATGGTTATAATATGTAGCAACACTTGGTTACTATAATATCTTTAAGAAGTTCATTAAATCAAAAGGGCAAGAATAACCTATCAAAGGTCTACATGATTAAACTACCTAAACTAAGGTGTAGCCTTAAACATGCTCACTCAGTCAAAGATTATCAAGCCATTAATTTAATAATGAATGCACTTAAAGCTAGGAATCAAGCATAGACCATCAAAGGGGGAACCTAAGCCATGGACTATCAAGGTTCTCCATCTTCATGCCAACAAAACCATTCCATGATCTCATTTCCATTGTTACTATGAAAGTGCAAGCAATATGATTAAGAGAAGAAACCATCTAAGACAAGATAATCAACTCAAAATAATCATTTATAATCATTAAAATCCATTACAAGAAGTAAGGTGCTCTAGATCATGGAAAAACCAAAACTATACATCATTACCCCAAAATAGAATCAAAGCTAGAACATGCTTATAAGGGAGGGCTTCATCACCTCATTAGAGAAGGATTTAGTTACCCATAAGAACAAGGAATGAAGAGATTGAGGTGCTCATCCTCTCCATTTTTGTACTTAGAGGACCCAAAATACCCCAAAACTTAAGAACACTACTTTCTCTCTTTAAAACTTTAGCCAAAATGTGAGATAGATCTAAACAATAGCCTCAAGGGCTTTTTCTAGCCAAAGGGATCACATTTCCCTCCATTTTCGTGCCCCTATAACCCTAGGAGCATTCAGGACCACACAAAAAAGGGGTCAAAGGGATAGCCTTGGAAGAAACAATATAGCTATACCCATTTGTCTGCAAAACAGCGGGCGCCCGCGGTGGCAGGGGCCCGGGAGGAGTGCAGTATAGTGGAGTAATTGGCGGGCGCCCGCGGTGGCGCGGCGGGCGCTCGCAGATGCCTGCCTTCTAAACATTGAGTCCTCTCTTTTAGCCATTTTGATTGGTCTGGTGACACGGTAGTCATTTTTAATGCAAGGCCGCAAAACTCACTCACATGCTGATTCAAGAAACTTAGCTCAAATAACGGTCCCCAGCAACGGTGTGCTCTGATCCTTCAAAGGATTGTCAAAACCGCTCTTTTAATCATATTCGGTGGAACCAACCTGAAAATTATTGAAAGCAAACAAATAAAACAAAACTATACATTATTATTAACTAATGGACTTAACTAGTGAAAATAAGGGCGCTTGAATATGCAATATTCGGCGCTTATCACACCCCCAAACTTACATTTTGCTAATCCCATAGCAAAACCCAAATATAGAAACTAACAAAAATGACAACATATGAAATGCTGACAACGTGCATTAATCATGAAGTGCGAAAGTATCAACGAAACTCAATTACAACTTGGAACAACAGAAAATTGGAGACAAACTCATTCAGCAAACTACCTTGCATATATGAGGCCTTGATAATCAAAATGGCAAAACAAATTTCCACTTTTATACATTTGGTTATCATAGTCTATATAAACACTTCAATTGTCATCTCTTGAATAAACATGAACTCTAACTTCAGTGAAAGTGAACCGGATTCCCAATATGCAACTTTTACCCTCTTTTTCCAATCTCAGAAACACAAGCCCTCAAATCATTGAATTTCCTTCTAAATGGGATTTCTAAGGCATGACTTTATTCACAATACAACTTTTGTTTCTTTTTGAAAATTTATTCAATAGCTCAAAATGATACGTACTATGGTTGTGCAATGCCGAAGCCCCTTAAGCTTTCTAACCAACCCATGTAGCAAGTGTTAGGCCAACAACTCCCAAACCGGATGGCTTTAAGGTGTTAAGTGTAGAGACACTCCTAGGGCTTATAACTTGAGTTGGAAAGGTTACAAACTTCAACAAACCATATTTATTTATTTATATCTTTTTATGAATGACCGTGCAATGTCTAAGTCCCTTAAGCTTTCTAACCTACCCATGTAGCAAGTGTTAGGCCAACAACTTCCAAACCGGATGGTTTTAGGGTGTTAAGTGTAGAGACACTCTTAGGGCTTAATAACTTGAGTTGGAAAGGCTACGAACTTCAACTGGTCATTATCATTGCTTACTTTTCTTTTTTATTTATTTATTTATTTTTAAACATGCCAAAGATATCCATTCATTAGGGTCATCACCTCAAATCAGCTGAGTCATGATCAAGGTCAATTAGGTTGCATACCTCACAATTAGGTTCCCGGTGTGCATCTGTGCAATGTGAAGCATAGAAGACTTTGAAATCCAACGAAAACCTAATTGAAGCGGTTATACAAACCGATATGAATCAACATGGTCATTACAAATTTTTCTTTATTTTCAAAAATATCATTTGCCTCTATACAGAAAGTCTTAAACATATGCTTCCATGTCCAATAAGTTCCATGATTACACTATCATTACTTCCAACAAAATGATTTTACTAACTTACATGCATCAAGATATGGACATGCAAGCAAAAATGTTATCTAAAAAATGCAACAATTGTAATGCACCCCAAACTTAAATGTCACATTGTCCTCAATGTGAGAAGACAAAGGATAAATAATGAAAAAGGAAGAGTGCAACAAGAACAATAGTAGCAAGTTGAAGAGGAAGTGAGTGGCAGTGCAAAAATAGGCCACTTTGTGAATTCCATGAGCAGGCCCTCAAACTTGGTTGCAAAAACCTGTCAAAAGCATCTATACACAGCAAGAATCATATGAATCCAAAATGAATGAAAATAACTGTAATTTATTCAACTAAAAAATATAATCCATGCAAAGTAGCAAAAGTGATGCAGTTATAAGTTCAAAAGAAAGACGGGAAGTAATCG